ATAATTGCTCAATGCTGTTTCAAATCAAAATGCAAAAATTGCTTTCAAGATGTGAGCAGCTCTTCACTCATGAGTTGGGACATCTTCTGCTGATGGCATTTGCTCAAGGACAGAGTCAGCAGACATCTCCACAGCCAATGGGCTGGTAGTCATCTCACAAAGACAGCACTTCTGCCAGAGAGAAAAAAGTGGGAAGTGCTTCAGCCCTTTCTGGAGTGACCTTCATGTGCAACTTCCCTCCCACCCCTTTGAGCTCTGATTTTTGTATCCCGCCTCTGACCCCTCTCAAACTCCATGGAAAAACCTGTGCAGTGATTTTGGGATGTGGTCCTGCAGCAGCATCTTCTCCCCTGCCCTCCTTTCCATGCTTGCTGTAGTTGATACATCCATGAGGAGAGCTCACAAAAGGGACAGAAATATACAGGGAATGGGTCTGAGCTGAGCCCAGGCTCTGAACAGCCAGGTCACAGCAGCAGTGCCAAGGGCTTGCCTGGGACAGGCTGGAATATCTCACTCTTCCTCACCCTGAATATAGCTAGAAAAGTTTTACAAGCAGTTTTCTATCGAGATGTCAGCCGTACTATCAACCCACCCCCTCCCCTGCACATAATCAAAATATTTTGATAACCAAAAAATGTCAGGCAATACAGCACATTTTGCAGTAAATAAATACAGCAAATAGCTGCAAAGGCAAGGAAGGGAGGACTGGGGAGCTGGTGCCTCTGCTGAAGGTTTCCATCTCCCAACAACAAGAAGAGCCTTTAAAATTAGTGTTTCACTAAAAACCAGATATTTTCTACAAAAATACCCTCCCTCTAGTGAAAGAAAGGAGGCTGATGGGAGGGAATGTTGTGCTGCTGGTTGACACCTGAGAGCAGAGCAGAGCAGAGCAGAGCAGAGCAGAGCAGGGCCCGGCCGCTCCTCACGCCAGACAAGGAGTGGTTCGAGCTCCTGGCACACAGCAGGTCCGTGTGACAAATGGCAGTGACAAGGCTGTGCTGGCAGGCAGGACAGCGGGCAGTGAAATCCCTGTGCAGACAGGCAGTGAAATCCCTGTGCAGACAGTGCTACGCTCCGGGCACTCTGAGCCAAGGGAAGGCAGGAGATGCAGCCAAAACCCCTCGGCGTGGCCACCACACCCTTTTTCCACGCTGCAGAGGGGCTGAGGCGGCGGCGAGCGCGGAGGGTGCCCAGGGAGCCAAGGCTGGGAATGTCACACCACACACAGAGCTGGGGATTGCAGAACACCAGGGCTGGTGTGCAAGGGCAGCTGGAGGAGATGTGGAAAGAAACCAAGCACTGAAACCAGCCCACTGCTCAGTCTGGTCACAAGGGACTGAAAGGCTGGAGGAAGGGGTTAGGGCAGAAGTCAGAGCTCAGGATGGGAAGTGTACTGTGCTGGAGGGGTAATTCAATAAATAACAGACCCTGGTCCCCATTCTGCACACCAGGAACCCACGTTCTATTCCTTAGGAAACACAAGGTGCTGTGGCTGTACCCACACCTGGTCCTTTCCACTGTCCCAGGCACCCCAGGCTGCCCCCCTTGCACTCCCTGCGCCCTACACAGCCCCTGCAGACACAGGGACCTCCTTTCCCATGCTAAACCCAGTGTTAGGATGCAGTCAGGGGCTGGCTAGACACTTCTCCAGAAGCAGCACAATTTATTAGCCCAGTAGCAGTGGAAAGTTTCCAGGCTGGGCAGGATGCTCCGGCAGCGAGGCAGGCGGGGACTGGGGGCTGCACAAGGCTCTTGCTGCAACAGGAAAGAGAGGGCAGCATGGGCAGCACAGCTCTCAGACCCCAGGGGCTATTTCTCCTCAGCTGTTTGTCCCCTCCAATGTTACTGCTCCCACCAACAAGCCTCCTCAAAGGGCACATAACCTCCAAGTTTTTCTTTATTCTTCTTGCACTCACAGCAGCAGATGCAAGCCCAGAATTTGGGCTGGTGCTGGGCAAACAGAATTGGTCTCCTCAAAGAGTTTCTTGCCTTTACCACCAGCCTGCAGCAGAGAAGGAGTGGCCACAGCTCACCCCTGTGACAGGGAACAGAAGCATCTCGGCAGGCCACATTTCAGATGTGTGGTGTGGGATGTTTATTTGTTTTAACCAGTTCCATAGCTGCCACCTCTGCAAGGGCATCACATTCTGAGTGTCTGACAAGCCCCAGCTTGGCTGGGTGTCTGTACCCTGAGGCAAGGGAAAACCAGAGGGACTCACAACATCTCCACATTCCCTGGAGTGGGACAGAGATGCCCCGAGAGCCAAGACAGTGACAAACAGGACCCCACAGGTGTGCCCGTGGGAGAGCAAGCAGCAAACAGCTTTTCTGGGGTATTTTGGGCTTTTTGCTTTCAGCCCCAGTGATCCGTGGGGTGCATCTCTGCTTGGTGGCAGAAACCGTACAGCATCCATCTGCAAAAACACCACAGCAAACAGAGCCCCTCGCCCTCCCCCAGGCTCTGCGAGCAGCATTCATTCCTTGCTCTCACTGCAGATCCGGCATGCCGAGTCCTTTCTCCCCAAGAGTATTCTCCCTTTACAAAGCAAGATCATAAAGCGGTGACATAATCCAAGCTTGGCAAACACTTTTGCTGATGTTAAGCCAGTGCCTTTCGTGGTTCTCACTGCAGCTTTTGAGGCCATGATATACATGGCGCAACCAGCTGATTAAATGTGCAGGAGCCTCCCAAGATACCATTTCATCCGAAACGCTGACATTTATATTTGACTTCCAATAAGTGTGGGACACTTTTTTTTTTTTTTTTTTAATTAGTTTTCACAAGGGTGGGAGTCAGACACAGCTACACAATGAAGTTCTCCATAGAATAGGTATGATTCAACCAGATGACTCCTGGCCAGACTTCCTAACCCATCTACCTTGCAGTGGAGCCTCGAAGCCAAATTAATTAGAGGCCACCCACAAGTAGATGTGATTCTGTGTAGGTGAATCTCTTTGCCCATTCATTCCCTACCATAACTGCTGAGATCTCAACATTCATGCTAAGGGTGAGTGGGAGGGCTCTGGTTCTAAATAAATGACTCAATTAGTTTCGTTTTGGCACCAAGACTTAGCCAGCCAGTGAGGCCGAGTAGTAAACAATAGTAATGTGGAAAAAAAGTTAAAAAAAAAAAAAAGCAGCATATAAGATGCCTCAATGAAGAGGTGTGATTGTTGGCAAAATGTGTCCCATTTGAGTTTATGGGATGTACAGAGTCTTTTTATTAGGGATACTTTTTGCTATTACTGTAATAAAAAAGGACCAATTGTTTCTGCCATCTGAGAAAACTCTTGGTGAAACAGGCATAAATCCAGGAATAATTAAGAAAATAATAGTGCACACCCAACAAGAAAAACATTATTTGTTTAAAGATGAAGTCCCTCTAGAATACTTGGTGGTGATTGCGTTTCTTTCAAAAGAGGGGGAAAAACCCTTCTAAATGAAAAGCAGCAGCCATCAGCTCATCTCTAAGATCTCGAGTGGAAAAAGCGTGGGGCTGTAATCCCCCTCAGTGGTGAGGCTTTTCCGTTTTCATCGCTCTTATCAGCCTTTACAAGTTGCAAACTAAAAGTGTTTTGCCCCTACATGTTTCCATCAGAGGATCAGAAGCACTTCACAAAGCAGAATTAATTGAGCTTCACTGCTCACCTGTGAGAACAGAGCAATTATTTAGCAACAGGGTTTGGGGTTTTTTTTGCTGTTTGGGGTGGGGGTAGAAATAAAAACTGCAGGAAGAATTCAAACCCACCAGGCCAACAAGAGACTTGGCAGCTTTAACCACTTCCAATGATGAATGTGACAAATCTGCAAGTTTCTGACCACCAGATCCGGGTTCTCCTTTCGGAAGGGAATATTTTGCCTCAGCATCACTTTTCCCAGGCCTCAGCTTGCCAGGCTCCCCACCAGCACAAACCACCATTCTCCCAAGTTTTGACTCTTCACATTTAGAAGTCTCTGGAAAATCAGGTCTGCAAACAGCCCATCGTCCCTGCGAGCGTGCTGTGGTGCCATCGCACACCCAGGATATGCACTGTGGGCACCAAAATCCTGCTCCCTTTGCTGCTGTGTGACTCTGGGCAGGTGATAAGGCTTTGCTGGCTGGACGTGGGAAAGTCTGCAGGTCAGAGAAACGTAGACTGAGAATCAGTGTTTGTGGAGAGCTTAGCAACACAGTAATGGGGAAAAGAGAACGATTTTAATTCTCGCTTTGATGTCATGTGAGTGCAGGGACAGAGCCACACACTGAGTAATAAAACATCAACTTTTACCCAAGCAGAGGTGGAAAAGCATCATCCCTTTTCCGTCTGGGTTATAAGAGGCTATAAACCCCCGACGGAAGAGGCAGCGGAACGAACTGGTTCGCACGAAGGGCGAAGCTGAGCGTCCGCACCGCTCCCGTGCAGCTCTCGTGTTTTGCATACATCTGTTTACTTTTTCCTTAATTGAGGTTTTTTCGCTCTGCACGCGGCTTTCAGCGGCTGCGGGGGCGCGGCGGTCCCGGTTCACAGCCCCGGACCGGGGGCAGGTGAATCCTCGCCCCGGCCGCTCCTCGCGGCCGCTGCCCGGCGGGCCCCGCGCTCCGCACACAGGGCCGGACCGGACCGTGCCGTGCCGGGCTGTACCGGGCCAGGCCGTGCCGTGCCGGGCTGTACCGGGCCATGCCGTGCCGTGCCCGGCTGCACCGGGCCGGGCCGGGTCGGGTCGGGCAGTGCCGCGCCGGGCTGTACCGTGCCGCGCCGTGCCCGCACCGGCCGCCCCTCGGTCCCTCAGCCCGGCGCTCCCGCCCCGCGCCGCGCCCGGCCCGGCCCGTCCCGCCCCGTCGGGCGGCGCTGAGGCCGCCCCCGCTCCCAGCAGCCTTTGCAGCCGCCTACAATGAAATTTGCGAAGTTTTTTCGGTTTCGGCGCCATTTTCGAGTGGACTCGGAGGTGAGGAGGGAGGGGGCAGGGCGGCGGGGCCGGGGCGCGGCGGGGGGCGGCCGGCGCCCCCCGGGCCCTGTCCCGGCTGCGGGCGGCACGGCCCGGCCCGGCCCGGCCCGCGGGGGACACGCGGGACGGGGCGGGCGCGGGGGGCTCGGCGGGACCCCCTCCCGCCGCTGCCCCGGGGCGGGGTCGCGCCGCTCCCCGCGGGGCACGGCCGGACGCGGGCCCGGCTGGAACTTTGCCGGGGGTTGGGGCGCAAAGAACTAAAAAAAAAACAAACCAAAAACTCCCCCCGAAACTGTTAAAAAAGCTTTTTTTGGGGGGAGCGCGGCGGCACCGGCAGCCGCCCCGGGGAGCCGCGGCACAAAGGCGGCCCCGGGGCTGGGGCCGGGCGGTGACAGCGCGGGGGACCGGGGGGCGGCGGGCGGGCCCCCGGGAGCGGGAGCGGGGCCGGTTCCCACGTGGGTGCGGGGCGCCCCGGCCGCCCCCCGCTGCCTTCTCCTCCCGGGTTTTGTTGGATTTTTCCCCCCACCCTCGACTATTAATAATTTTTAAATCTTTCTTTCTTTTGAGCCGCGCCCGCCCCCCGCAGGTGGGGCTCGGGGTTGATTTTTTTTTCTTCTTCTTTTTTATTTTTTTATTTCTTTTTTTTTTTTTTTTCTTTTTTTTTTTCTCCCGTTTCTCTTTTTTTAAAGCGAACGCGGGGACCCGTTCCGGCCGCGCCGGCCCGGCGCGGAGTCTGCGCGCCTCCGCACGTATAAAATAGTTTTATACATGTAAAAGAAAATGCTGGTGTAACCAAAGAATAATTCGCCAAAATAATTTAAAATATTCAAGAAAATCTAATTGGCAGCCAGCTTTTGCTTTTTTTTTTTTCTTTTCCCCTCGCTGGTTGCTCGCTTTGTACAGGAAATTTGAATATCCTGGCAAGGGCCAACTTCCCAGGGCAGCCTCGCAGCTCTCGGGGAGCTGCAGTGATGGAGCAACATGCACAGCGCTGAGACTTTTCCCTCTCTAATTGATTCTACATACAGTATTTTCCCCGTATACACATCGGGTCTATAAAACAATTTTTTTGTGTTTGGAGAGTGAGTTTTCCAAGGTTAGATCATTAATTGCTCCCCCCAAAAAACAGAAATTCTGCTTGTGTGTCTTATGCGTGTTAAGTGTAGGTGAGGGGCCATCTGCCGAGTTTCATCATCTTCTGTTCTGAAGAAATCCAAAGAACTCACCGGCAACTGCAAAAGTCTGTATTTAGTTAATCGACTTTGGTGGGAAACAAAGTTGGACTCAGCTGCTAATGCAGTAAATGCTTATGAAATATTAGAGGGAAGCTTTAAGTAATACTTCGTGCAAACTTAACCCAAATCTAAAAAGGAAAGAAAAAATTCAGTGTGCTTGTTATGTTTTGAATTATTCTTCATCTGACCAAAAAAAGAAATAGGTTTTTTTGTTTGTTTTTTATTCCTGTTCTTAACAAATAAACTTAATAGAAATTGGGCTTCCAGATCTGACCCTTGTTGTTAAGAACTGGATGAGATGACAATGCTAAAACTTGGAAGTAACAAAAAGCATCATACTTTTCTTTTCCTCAGCAGTGTTGAGAAAAAACTATGGATCCTGGAATTTTACTGTGGATTTTACTGGTTTTCTGGAGTGCTGTAAGTTGAAGTCTTGTCCCGCAGGCCTTTCTAAGCACCAGTAGCTCCCTGTCCCACTTACACCCTCGCCTGGGTAAACACAGCTGATCCTGCTGGTAACAATGTTGGGCTCGAGTTTCACACCGAGTGGAGTTAACAATTCATTTTTTGCGTTATTTCAGCCTGCCCTTTGTAGCTGCAGTTTGGTTTCGGGTGTTTGGCCCCACCTAAGAGCGTGTCGATGCCGTGTGGTTTAGCGCGGGGAAGGTGCGCCGTGCTGGGGTTTATACGTGCTGCCTCCCTGGCCCTTTCTGGGTAAATTAGTGAGGGAAAAAAATTATTTTTGATGAAGCGCGTGAGGAACAACCCGCTCTCATATGGCTTCGACAAGAACAGGCAGGAAATACATTTTCTGCGTTGGTTTTGTGCCCCCCGAGTGAGTCGTGGCTGGGCACAGCAGCGATTTGGGGTATGGGAGATGCGCTGTGGGTGCCGCGCAAATGAAATAATTTATCCATGTGCAGTTCCACTGCTCGGGCTCCTTCAGAGCCGCTGCTCCTCCCGCAGCCCTCGGAGAACGGGAACGGCAGAGCTGGGGCCATGTGGTGGCTGTCGATCAAGAACCAGCTCCGGTCCCAGCTATCGGTCACATCTGTAAATATTCGGACGTGACTTTTGTTTAAACCTCATTGTTCAAAAGGAGGCAGCAACGAAAGTGTTGGATTTTTCAGAGCCAGGCAGATAGGAAGTGTTCTGGTGGTGTTACTCACAGCCTTATTTTCGTTTTGTCACCATAATTTTGCCTCATTGATGAGTGGCTGGGACCTTCAGCTGTAATGAGATGATTTACTTAAGTCTTTTTGTAAAGTAATAAATGCCCCCTTTTTTTCCCCAGTTGTTTCAAATGAGAACAATTACTTCAGGATTTGTTTGTGCATGTCTCCAAGAAAACTGTTGGTTAGCAGAGCTGGGGGTTTTGTTCTTTTTTTTTTTTCTTTATATATAGGAAATGCTTCATATTTACTTGTCTTTGAGCTCACCTAGCCCTGAAGTGTGTGGGTCAGTAAAGGCTCTGTATGCAAATCTTCCTGTCATGGGCTCCTGTATTTATTTCCTTTCCTTTCCCACAGCGCTCCTTCTCACATTTTTTCCCTTCTCTTTTTTTTCTGGTTTGTGTCAGTGAGGAGGGATGAGGTTGTATTTTAAGGGAATCCAGTATTTCAGAGGGAATGTGTTTTGGTTTTTGTGTGTTTGGGATTGGAGCAGGGGGTGTGTTTTTTACTTAATTGCCCAATATACTTTGGCAAGCCAAAGTTGCATTGTTTTGTGAATTGCATTAATGATTTTCTGCATGTTCAAATTCCCCAGTTATTTGGGGGATTTAATTAAACCTCTGTAGGTGGCTGGCTTACATAGATGATGGGTAGAAGTTTCTATTTCTAGAAGGAGCTGGTGCACACACTGCAGGCGTGGAGCTCTAGGCAGCAGAAGGGCTGTTGCAGTGCTTTTGCATTGAGGCGGAGCTTTTGGGGCAGTTCTTCTCATGTTTGGGGTTCCCAGTAAGCAGGACACCCCAGTTCCTGGCTTGGAAGTTGAAGGTGCTCCTGGGATGCTGCCTCTGTGTGACAGTGAGAGAGGGCACTTGTGGTGTCACCACAAAAGCATCAGCCCCCAAACAGCCTCTCTGTTTTACCTCCTGCCCTAGGCCTGGCTTGTCACCTAAACCAGCATAATTAATGTTTCCTTTGCTTCTGGTCTGCCAGGATCAGTAGAGTTGTTCTTGCTTCTGCTTTAGGGAGGAAGGTGCTGGCCATGGTTGTGCTCAGTGGCTTTCTTTCCCACCTGCCCAGAGCTGCCCCTGTTTTTTGTGGCTATCTCTTCTTGCTCTACAGCACCTGGGCTATGATTTGGTGTGCCTTGGGTGCCACTGCCTGGAGTCAGCCTGAGCCAGTGGTGCCAGTAGCTGGGGAGGATGGACAGGGGAGGGATGTAGTTACTCTGCCCTATCTGGAGCTGAAAACTTGATTTACTTGGTTTTTTTCCTCCCCTAATTTTAAAAATACTTGCACCTGTCTGTGTGTCTTGGAAGAGGGCCTGCCCAAAAGCCCTGGTCCCCCCTCCTGGAGTTGCCCCTCTCTGCCATTGCCTCTCAAACCCTTTCTGTTGTTGCTTTGTAGCTCCCACTGAAGCAGCGATCTGGTTGTCCAGAGAGTCTGTGCAGGAGCTGATGTGCCTGTGCTCAGAGGTGAGTTGGGAAGGTAAGCTCGTGTCCCACCTGCTCCAAAATACCTGCATCATCTGCATCCCTCTGGGAAAATGCAGGTCCCTCTGGCACACATATCCCTTCTTGGGTACCGCAGGTAATACTTAGGAGGCGTTCAGGTGAACTCAGATTTCCCTGTTCAGCTGCCCATTTCTGATGTAAAGTTGAGTTTCCAGAGCACAAACTAAGTTTGAAAGAAGCTGAAGTGGGAGATGGGGTAATTCAAACATGGAACTTTTTATTGCATGAAATATTGATGCTGTCATGTCATAAATGTGCATATTTTCTCAGATACGTATTTCACTGCCTATCCCAAATTTCCAGTTGCCCAATACTTGGTGTGACTGTTGATTTTCCCTCTATGCTAGAGGCTGGTGGAGGTGTATTGAATCCTTCCTTTGAAAAGTCCTCCTTACTAAAGAGAGCTCTTGCCCTTGTTGTTGAACTAGGCAAAAGTTTGGTTTATATAAATATAAAAACATTAATTAAAACGTGAACCTCAAGCACTATCAAAATGGATTCTAAAGCTGAACGTGTTTGCTGTTGCTTTTTTCTTTTGGATTCATTTGAAGAGATGAAATAAATAAGATTGCACAGGTAGAGTCAAGTAAAACATTGTTGCAGAAGTAATTAATGGTAATATTATGCGGGGGGCTGTTTTGATTTAGCTCGTGCAGGCTTAACACTGGGTACATGTTTGCTTTGCAGCAAGTAGCAGCTGCTCATTAGGGAGTTGGCCCTGGTGCTGTCAGTGTTGAGGACACTGAAGTGGTGAAAATATACTACTTTTTTGTTGGCAAATATTTGATTTCAAATTTTAAATCGCTTGGCATGGGTCACAAGAGCTTTTGAAATAACTATTTTTAAGTTTGCTAAAGAGGCAGGGACCCGGTGGAGCATTGGGCACGAGGGGATGGCACAAGAATTCGAACCCAAGGCGTCATTTCTGACATTGTTGAGTTTTTTTTGTGATGCTGCTTTTTAAGAAAATGAATTGAAGGAAGTTGTCCCATAACTGGTGGAGCGGGGGGGGGAAGGTTGAAAGGAAATACAAAAAAAAATACAGTCTGTCTGCATGGCTCCTGTGCAGCCCAGACAGGCTGGTGTGCAAGTGCCACTGGCAGCTTCTGCAGGGCTGCAGCCCCTCCCTGCCCTGCCCTGCTGCTTTCTGCTCTGGTACAGGCAGGGAATGTGATGAAGTTCCAGAGATTATTAATTTCTGGTCATAGAAGGCTTGTCCATTCACATAATAAATAAGCGTGATTTGCTCTTTTTAAAAATAAGGATTTTTTACATATCTCTAAAGTGAAATTTAGGTGAATTAAAGTATTTTAAGGAAAATTTAACAGGTTTCAACTATTGGAATATGAATTTATTTTTCTGAAATGTTAACATTGTGACTTCTGGGAAATCCTGGATGTTCAGCATCACCTAAGAGGAAAGTACAAGGTAATATTTCCCCACAGACCAGTTGGAAAGGCTGGGAAGTTCTGCAGGCTCTTCACAGCAGCAAAAGCAACAGATCTTCTGGATCTGAAAGTGTATTATTTGCTGGGACCCGATACTAAGTGTGGTTTGGGGGGAACAGTTAATTTCTGACCTTGTTTCTGAAATTGGTTTGTTTGCACTGTATAACTGCTTGTTCTCTTATAGTTACAGACTGTCTGGTATCACCTGTGGAAAAAAAAAAGCCTGTCCTGTGGTGGTAATGCATGCATGTTAAATGTCTTCATTGTAGAGTGTTCTTCAGTTCTTTATATCCTGGTTTAAAAAAAAATTATATATATACATATATATTCAAAATACCATTTGGAATGTCAACATTCAGTGGGCTTTGAGGAGATGTAGCAGCACATCATGGTTTGTAGGGACAAGGAGATACAGACCATTCTGGGCTGCCTCATTACCTCAAGGATAAGACAAGAAAGTGAGCTTCTGGTTATCATAGATGTGGAAGCTAACACATTCCCATGTATCTCATTAGTTCAGGTATGTGCAGACACGTTCTCTTGGTGCTTGGACTGTGCACATCCCTTACATCCCCTGGGAGCTCGTGTGTCTGGCCCTGCAGGCAGGAAGGGCTTGTAGCTCCTTTTTGTTCTCCAACGTGGGCATGACCACATCCTATACTATATCTACCCTCAGCTATTGCTCTTCGGGCCTTTCCCTGGCAGAGGATCAGCCAAGGGACCCGTGCCCTGTGTTTGGGGCAGAGAGGGGGGTCTGGAGGCCGTGGAGAGCTGTCAGCAGTGCTCTAGCAGCACGTAAATACTGGAGTTTGGGATTGCCTGTTGCTCTCCAGTATTGCATTGCTGCTTTAGTGAGGCTGGAAATTGGTCTCTGCTGCAGGGCTCTGGCTCTTGGGGTCCCTCCGTGGCACCCCCACGGTGTTCCCCACACTGCAGGGGGCTCCTGGCTCCCACCCCAATAAACCACTGCGGAGGCAGCAACCAACGAGGGCTTGGTGTCGTGAATGGGGACGGGGCAGGGGCTGCCCCCAACACTGCTGGGGGGTACCCCATGGCCCAGCCTGAGAGGAGGGGGCAGGGAGCACTGCCTGCTCCCAGGAGGGGGAGATGGGCCGTTCCCTGGGCTCTGGGCACAGGGAGGACCTGGGGCTGCACAGGGGCAGTGCTGGCCCCTGGGTGCACCCTATCTCAGAACCTGGGGAGGGCTGTGGGGGACATGGGGGGGTGCAAGGGCTGGTGGGGACCAGAGCTTCAACTGGGTGAGAGGGAGGGACACTCATTGTGCCTGGGCTGCTCCTGGGGAAATCCTGCTGCAGGAGGCAAGATCTCTCCCCAGATTTCTGCTGCTGGCCCAGCCTCTGTCAGGATACCCCAGCTCAGGTAGCGCTGCCATAGGGGCCTGCCAGTGGCTGGCAGCATCTGGCACCACTTGGGTTGTGGTGGAGGGAGTTTGGACCACCTGAGGATTTGCCTGCAGACCCACCACTGCAGCAGTGATTTCTCCAGAGCTGTCCCAGCCCCATGGTGAAAGGTTTTTCCTTCACATTGCACCACTTGAAGCTTCCAAACCCTGCTGGAATAGACACAGGGGCCAGCAGGGAGTCAGGGATGCTCCTGAGAAGGGCTGGGGTGGTGCCTGCCTGCTCAAGATTAATCTGTGGGGTGAATGAACTTCTTGGTCCTGCCAGTGATGGTGCATCATTAACAGCCCAAATCCAGCAGCTCCTGCTGGCTGTGAATTCCAGAACATTTGTTTTTTCAGCTATTTTCAGGAATTGCTAGATCACAGCCAATAGTTGTAGGGCAGGGGAAAATCCTCTCGCTGATTTACAGCTTCTGTCCCTGCTCCTGCTCTGTTCAGGGGGCATCAGTGCTGTCAGAGCATCGCAGGAGAAACACAAATTTCTCTGGCATGAGGAGCTGCAAGGGGGGTGTGAATGGGGACGAGCAGCTTTTAAAATCCTCTGCCCTCAAAGGGGACAAACTCAAAATATTTGGGCAAACAACAATGCATTCTAAACCAGACACTGGTATTCTTCCAGTTGTAAAATGGTTCATTCCCACTCTCAACAAGTCAAGCTGCATACCATACCGTTTTCCTTCAGGAAAATAATGAGTGACTTGGTTAACAGGGAAATTGGTCAATAAAGTTGGTAATTGTCTGTACATTTATGTTAATTTTGAATCACTTTTTTAAAGAAAGGTTTCTACTGATATTTATAGGTAGAGTGTAAGATTTCAGGGAGGTTTTTTTGCCATTTCTATTGTGGTCAGTTTGATTTTACTTAGCTAGAAAAAGACACTTTCACCATGTTCACAAACTGAAGTCTCCTGCTAGAACTGCATTCAGGCATCAGTCTCCTGTAGTATCAAAATGGGAGTAATGGGAGAATAAAAGCACCACAGAGTTTGCAGAGCAGTGGGCACGAACAAAATATAGAGGGTAAATCGAGGCAGTAGGATCCCTGTGGACAGGGAACTGCCCCCAGGGAGGTGGCTGTGCAGGTGTCAGCAGCACGGGCTGTGGCAGTGATGGATGTGCCATAGCCAGCAGCGAGGGCTGAGGGTGTGGGACCAGGTTCCATGCCTGCCTGGCTCCCAGGACCTTGTGTGTCCCCTCACAGCTCCAGATAGTTCCAGATATTGCCAGTTATTAACACAGAAAGTCCAGGGGGCAGATGGGGGACAGACATCCAGCTGTGCTTTTCTTTCTGAGAAGCTAGGGAAGCTCCTGTCATTTTTTCCCTGAGGTGTAGAAATTTGCCTTTGACACAAGTGCAAGTTGGCTTTCCTGCTGTGTTGGTGCACAAACTACTTGGAAAAAAAAAACAATAAATGCCTTAGCAGAGCATCCCTGAGCTGTCCTGTCCTCACAGACCCACAGTGTCACTCTTTGAGGCATCTGCAGAGGGGCAGCAGCACAGGCAAAGCAGGCTGGGTAAATGTCTTTGTTCGTGTAGGATAAGGCAAGATGTGGGTTTTTTTGTTTATATGTGAAATTTGCTTCATCAGGAATGCATGTGTAGAGGAAAAGTCTTTGACTTCCCTCAGTAGTTTCTGCTGTGATTTTATAAACAAGCTGGAAGGCAGCAGTTCCCTGTGGTAGGTAAATACGTGCAGCACATCATCACACTGCTGCATGGCTGGGCTTAGGAGACAGTCATTAAACAAGTCTGTAATTCACATGTTTCTACACCAATCTTCTTTTTTTAAATTTCCCCCAGACCAAAACTCTCCCACGTATTTAGACTGAGGATATGTTGCTCTGCTCACAGTACCAGGTACCTCCATTACAGGTAGTGTGGGAGTCAAACGAGGTGTTGCAGATTCCTGTAAACACTGGGAAAGCAACCCAAAGAGCCACCTTATCTACCTTCAGCGTTTTCCTGTTCACCTCCTTTGATGCAGAAGGAATTTTTGGCAAAGGTTGGTGGCTCATTGTGGTATCCAGCACTGTCTTGCTTTTCTTGCAGTTCTTGCCCACCCACCTCATTTGCTTTTCCTCAGCTCACATCCAGCGTGTTGGGAGCCGGGACTGGCTTTGGCAGGTGTTTGTGCAGTGCCTTGCACAACAGCAGCTCCCAGTGCCTGCTCCTAATGACTTCAGGTCCTGCTCTTTGCACCACAGAAACCTTCCACGTCTCTCACTCTCTCTTTGCGGGGTGGGAGACCCTGGCTGGGTACCCAGCTGTGCAGCTGCCCCCAGCACAAAGGAAAAATCCTGGCTGGAATTAGACGTGGCAGGTATCAGCCACATGGCAAAACAGAAGCCAGCTCATGTCTCCCGTGAGGGTTTGCTGAAGTCACAGTGATGACCAGTGCAAACGATGGCTCTGACATCCTGATGACACTGGTTCCAGGCAACAAACTCACCAAGTGGAAGAAAAACACAAATTGAAGTATTTTATTTTCTGAAGCAAAGTGTAAGACATTGCTCTGCATCATTTCTCCTGTAAACCCACCCTTGTGGCTGTTCAGCCTTCTGATGGCTACTCAAACTGTGATTCAAGCAGAGCATATATTCATTTATAAAATGTCCAGGGTGAGTTCTCATACCATATAGTGTGTGTGAGAAAATAACTTCCCCCTCATAGTGAAAAGAAATTATTTTAGTGTGCAGGACTGCCAGGTAAAGTGCTGGCCAGGAGGGGACTGGAGGTATGGAAGATGCAGCTTGGCAAGAAGGGAGTTGTGCTTATGCTATACTAGAAAGCACAGGGTGGTTTTCTAATTTCAAGTTAAGGCGTTTATACCACAGAAGATATTTCTACCCCGTGTTTTGCATTCTCTGATTGCTACAGGGTATTTTGCGTTTTGTGAATGGAGGAGAAATATTTGTCATGAAAAGAAATGGGAGGAAAGATCTCCTAAAGGCACATCAATAAACATTTAGAAGCTCTCTCTCTCTCACGCACACCCCCACCCCATTTCCCTGTTCCTCCCTGCCTTAGGGTTGGCTTAGTCACGTCCCAGTTCCTCAGATGGGAAACAGGCGAGTGAAGCATCAGCATCGCTGCTCTGGCACTTGCCGGGTGTGCAGGAAGACACGGGGCTTTCCGTGGCAGGGCTGGAACAAGAGAACTAAAACTGGGTTATTTCACTGCCACGGGTAGCCAAATGTTGTGGGAGAATTACGTTTTACCTAAGTCTCTTCAAAAAACCCATCCTGTAGCGTTCCTGCTGGTGCTGCTGAGATTTCAGGGTTGTAAATCAGGCACCAATAAGCCACCCTAAGAGAGCTGGGCTGGAGCTGGAAATAACCGATTCATTATTTATACAGACAGTATCTACTGGGATATTTTCCTGGTTGTGAAGGGCTGGGGTGGGGAATCACAACCTGTGAGAGGGCACAGACTGTCTGGGAATCCTCTCACGCACCCCTAATGCCCAAAGCTGGATCTTACAGGAACCGTGATTTGCTGCAGTTCACCTGGAGATACGCAGAAGACACACGAGGGTTTGTTCCCTTTCTGCTTACAGCAGGGACAAAATAAAGATGCCACTAATAATGATTGTAAGATAAACACCAGCCTCTTCCTGCACCTTGATTTATTCACCATCACTGGCCTGTTTCTCCTACCTGGTTCCACAAGGATTTCCACCTTCCAAGATGAAGTTTCAAATCATCACTTGGTGTTTACTGGAGCAGAGCCCACACGCAGAAGGGTATTTGCAGCCACTCAAATGTGTCCCAAACACACACCCACCCTGCACCAGCCTTTCATCAGCTGGCAGTGACCAGCACAATCCCTCTCTCAGCTTCTCTAGGGATGAAAATCCTCACGGCCAGTTCTTAGACTGTGCTGAATCTTTGTGCTTTTCTAGCCCTGCCCTCTTCACCCTGGTGCCTGCAGTACCATCAGCTTACTGGGTACTGGCACCTTTACAGAACTGGGAAGTGTTTTCCCCATCAGAACATGCAACAAACTACATCTGCTTGGGTGATTAAATACTATAACAATTAAAAAAAAAAAAAAAGGAAAAACACAGTGATGTCTCAGCTTATAAAGGTGCTTGCCAAGAGTGGAGATTTGATCTTGCAAGGTGCAACCTGCACAGGTATTAAAGGCAGCTGGGCAGGGCAGACAGTCCTTTAATGACTCGTAACCAGCTCCCTGTAAAGCACTGTCAGCTCCTCACTGCTGGATTAGTGTGTATTTGACAGGACTGCTGCAGCATAATAGACAATGAAACACCACCATTTAATTAGTCAGGATATACAATTACAAGGCAGCTCAAAGATCCTTATTTAACTCAATTTTCAAAACCATGATTGCCAAAAAAAAAGCCCCAAGTGAAGCGCCAGCTCAGTTCACAGAGAGTTTTCACCACGTTTCTGTCTCAGCTACCAAAATGTACAGAAATGCCAGATGTCACAGGGAGAGACAGTGTAGCAAAGTCTATAAATATTCGAAATTATTTTTCCAGCATACATTTGTGATTCATAAAATGTGGTACTATAATGAATTTCAAATGGCATATAAATGTTCAAATACAAGATATTCCTCTGTGCTTTCATAATGCTTTAACAATGTATGTCTGGGTCATATAAAGCTCTTGTTTAACGTGCAAAGATGTGACTAAACCCCCAGTCTCTTAACCAAAATTACCAAACAAAAAGTAACAATTGCAGTTTCAACATTTTTCAAGTGAGGATTTATCTTCCTTTTGTGCACACACAGCTGCTGTGAAAGGCTGCAGTAGCTAGAACTATTCCAGGAAGGGCAAGGGAGGGGTAACCTTTCATCGGAGCAATTTTCAGACCAACAAAAGCTTTTGAATAAGGAATCTCTCTGTGGTGATGAACTTGATCTGACAAGCACCTATGTGAAGTGAAAAAAAACTCAGTGTCTGTTCCACAGCACCTGAAATGTGGGAATATTCAGTGAGGTTTTAGGTACAAACCTTTTCCATCAGACACATGTGGTGTGGCAGAAGGAGACCTGTGCTGCTGCAGCATCACTCCTGGGGCCAGTGTGGCTCAACAGCATCTTCCCAAATCTCTCCTGTGACCACACAGTCCGTGCAAGTCCAACCCCTGCTCCCAAGAGACCAGGAATTCCTGCTCCAGCTACAGTTTGAAAGATAAACCCCTTGTTATGACTAACTCAACCCCTCCTCTCTTTCCCAAATCACATCATGTGAATAATTGTCTTAACCATGACTGGAAAACCTTTCAGGAGACTGAGTATTTCCTCTCCTTGGAGATGCACTGCATATTTTTGCAACAAGTCACAGGTTCTTGAACAGGCAGATATACAAAGGTGATTTAGGACAAATCCAGAAATATAATCAGACTGTGTAGTGCATTAGAACAAAAGTTCTTTGAAAAAATAACCCACAGTATAATTTTGATCAGTGTTCTAATATTTGTTAAAGAGATTCTGATTTACAAATAGATCTCCCAGAAATGTGGCCATTTGATGTGAATTACATTGTGTGAATTTATATTTTAGGTCTGCTATTAATCATTAATCATTAATATTAGGTCAGCTGTAGCTGAGCAGGCTGTGGATGGGCAGTAGTGTGCAGTTCTTGGAAAAGTACAGACATAAACTTCAAAAACAGAGAAAAATCTTTCAGAACATAGTATTTCAATAACTCCATTGTGTATTAGGCACTGAGCCGCAGTAAATCCGAGGATGTGGTGGGAGAATACACATGGAGAAGTACAAGAACCAAAAAGCACAGAACAGACACAGGTGTGAGCTGGGCTGCCGTGTTCAGAACTGGACTCCACAGGAACAGAAGTGCTAATGAAACAAACCAAAATGATTACTTACAAAATGCTGTGGTTTTTTGTGCTTTTTTCCCCACATGGGTATGTTTAATGGACACAGAACCTCCACTCTTCATTTTTGCCACGACAGAACAAAGAACTTCAACTGTTCTCTCTGGAATCTGGTTTGGTTGGAGAATATGCAATTGTTTCAATTTCTTCCCACAGCACTTTTATAATCTCTCTCTTAGAGAGGATTACATTAAGCAAAAGCTCTACACAGGTAACAAATGCAGAGTCTGCCTTCACTGTCACAAGCACTTATGAAAAATGAACACTTTAATATACAGAATGAGTGGGATAGATGTGTGGGGCTTATTTTAAAGAGACAGCCTTTATTTAAAGTACTTTGCTTTGTAGATCTTATAAAGTAAACATTACAATACTTTATTTTTTTCCCCACAAATATATTAAAACTGTTTAAATTTAAAAGGCAATTCCACAAACTGATGGATATTTTTAAAGAAAAAAAAATCTAACAGAAATAGGCAGCTCAACTAAAACTAGATTTTAAACATTCTGTTTTGTCATTCCATCTTTAAAAAAAAGAAAAGAGAAAAAACACACTTTTCACCCAGACTTCCTTTACAGCAATAAGGCAACTCCAGGAGATTTGGATAAGCCCCTTGGAGATTACAGATACTGTAACTGGCTGCTCCTCATGCTTTATTACCACCCAAAGGTGCAACTATCCATTAATCACAATCACATCTGTGCATTAAAATATAAAACTTAAATTACAGATTTAAAAAATATTACTAATAGACTTCCCTATCATAAAATGCTTTACATTTACAGTACTTGAACTATTTCAGTTCTGGGTTGATGAGGTTTAAGCAATTTACCACTGCAAGAGTTAAGACTTGAGCTCACAAACAGCACAACCCAACCAGGGGCAGCAGCGATAGTTGGTAGAGTCGTAGTGCAAATCAAAATAAGGAGTGCAGAACTGCACTAAATTTACATTTCTAAAATACAAAAGAACAAGATGAGCTCTTATATTGTACATGCAATAAATTACAGTAAGCACATGGCAATGGGGCTGGGGCATTCTACAAGTGTAGCTGGTGTGCCAGAGCTGAAGCCTGTGAAAGATAGGACTTGGTAAACAAAACATTTCAAAGCTCTGTTGTCACTTGAACTCTGCTTTCATGCTTTGTACTTCTGCTTCCCCGTCTCACTGATCACACAGATATGCTGAAACAAAATAAAATAAAAGTTCCTGTTAGGAAAGTGACCTAAGAGACCAAGGTTTGACATCAATAACAAGCTTCTGAAAGTAACACAAGCGTGCTGTACACACTTCAGAAGGAAGAATCTTCTGACACTGTTTATGCAGAAAGACTTAGGCCTTTTTTTTGGTCCAAAAATCTCCACATTGCTTTTTTTTTCTCCTCTCCTAATTGTCCCACCCAGTGTCTGCTGGGTCTGGTGAGACCCAGATGAAGAGTTAGTGATAAAAATAATAAAATGTGAGCTCTTCTTAACTTCTTCCCAGGTCTCTCTTCTTTAACTCTGACATAACTAAGCAAATGCACTTATTTGTTACAGACACCTGGTAAGACAAGAAACTTCACACAAACTTCACATTATTTCAAAGCTGACAGTTGTGCAGCCTCCACTCTCCACGCAGCAAAATAATTTTTTTTGTTTTATCAGAGCTCGCTGCTGCCCTGCTGCTCTCAGGCTTGTTCTCATCACTGGAATATGAGGCATGATTTACAGAGCAGGGAGAATGATGTAAGGAGATTTCCCTTCCTTCCTCCTCCCCAGTTTTAAATGGAGAAAAACATACGGGAGAAATTACTTACGTTCAAATCTCTGAAGTATTCATTGTAATCTAGGGCGTATCCCACAACAAATTTGTCTGGCACTTCAAAGCCAACAACTGAAAAAGACCATAAGTCACCCAGAGTGGTAGAAAAAGAACTTCCTAGAGTTCACTAGATCTTTTTACAGAGACAGTATGGAATTTTATAGCTATAGATTGCAACTCATTTTATTTCTTCCACTCTAGTACCCACAGATTAATATTTCAGCTATTTTACAATTTTAACTTACATTGCTGATTTACCAACTAAAGGAAATTAAATAGATGTATTTATTGGTTCCCATACAGCTGCCTGGTGGTAGTCTGCAAGAAATGAATGGAAGCTCTTAAATTTCCTGACAGGATATTTTTACGAGAATGTAAAATTCCTTGAAAATGTCATCTTGATTTTGCAAATATGTACAGAAGTGCCAATCCTTCCTGGCACTTCCTAGATAACCTGACTTGCCAGTGCAGCAGCAGTGGACTCATGAGCACAAGTCCCACGCACACCACTGGAGCTGCAGGAAGGGTCATTTGCAGGTTTCAGGAACGGGTGTGGATTGGCTGCTTTGGGTTTGCTTTGGACTTTGGTTTTTTGTGTTCGGTTGTGATTTGTATCTCCCAAAATGTCTGCCTAAAAAGAGGACATCAGCCATTCCAGATTGTCTGAACAGCTCTAGCAGAACACTTTGTCAGGCAGGACTAGTCCACCTTGTCTACACACACTATAAAATGACAAAAAAAATATTAAATTATCTATAATTTCCAAAGGGCTTTTGCCCTATCATGCAAAATGAAAGACTCCTGAGCAGGAAAGCTGTGCCTTTTCTCTCCCTGGCTACAATGAGTAAAACAGGGAGATAAACTGTGCAGTTAAAATAAAAGGCTGTGGGCACTTTTAGAAAAATTAAGGTGATGATTAGCATTTACTGGGCCTCACAAAACAGGGATAAAATGGAAGCCCAGCCATTGCTGCCTTGTTGTCTCCTTCAGAGCTCACATCCTGCTCTGACAGGTTGTTTCTGGGGACAGATGGCAAAAGAAGTCATCTGCTGCAAGATGCTCCAAAGGCACTGTTAGCCCAGCTAAGCCTATAATGGGATCCCAGGAATGAGGGGTGCCCTTGAATGGGGGAACACCTCAATGAAGCCTCGAGGTATGGAAAAGCTTCACCTACAGAGCACTGTACAACCTTGGAAAGGAGGAGGAAGAGGATGTGATTCTGCTGCTCAATTCTCCTCACTTCCACAATGAATGGAACAGGAATTTACCCTCTGGAAGAGGGTTAAAACACACAGCCCTGCCCAGGGCAGGGGGAGCTGTCACTCCCACCACTGTCTGCTGTGAATCGTGTTCCTTCACTGACAGTCTTGGGACAGACATGAGAGGACAAGAAGGGAGTCATTCAGATGCTCAGACATAACCAGTGCCAATTTAGACATTTTAACACTGTAAACTTTTATCAGACCTGCTACCCCATGTGGTCCTCCCACATTCTTGGGGACAGCCAAATGGCAGGAGGTAGCTAGGCTAAGGCATATAAATCACTCCCAGAAGTGTCAAAGGTGAATCCAGCAGATTCCACTGATTGCAGCATTTGACTACATGCAAGTTGAGAGAATTTGCACATGACAGAGGTGTAAGCTAGACCAAAATATCAAAGTTTGATTTTCAATATAATAAAAAGTTGCAAATGTTACAAATCCTGATTGACTTTCCAAAATATGTTCCAAATATTTAAATTATCAAAATAAGAGTAAGCTTTATCAAGAATAATTAGTGAAAACCTGTTTGGAACATCCTTGGACTTTGTGCAAAAGGTACACAATAAGCAAACATACTTTTGATAATGAAAAATGGTTGTCAAAAGTCACTTACAGTCTGGCCGGTATCCCACACTTCGAGGAGTTCTTTTCACCAACAAACTATCAAATAAAAATTAATGTACAACTGAAACATGGAAAACCATTACTTTACTGGCATGTACAAAAGATAATAATAACAAAATCAAAACTTCCTAGAATCATGAATGGTTCACAGCCTAAAGGCTGACTAACAGGTTTGCAAGGAAAGGGCTGGGACACACTGATCTGGATGGATTTTCACTGTGAAAAGTCACTTAGTGGGGCTTTATGTATGTTAGGAACTTCAGGTGCAATTTCAATTTACCTTGCAAGTAAAGAGGCAACAATCTGGGATGTGGCCCAAGAAAAAAAGCCCAACAAAAGCCTGAATTTTATGAAGGAAAAGTTTAGCTGCTTGAATGTGACCTCAATTGTATTTGCACAACTTGTCCTTCACTGCTTTTCACTGGAAGTACTAATTACCCCCATAAAGAAAATTTAATTGATTCTGATAATCAGAATTAATAGTCAGAAGGGTAAAAAGCAAGGAGATACAGAGCTGGGGGTACTGTGGCAGAAAGAAGTGCCCTGCTAACTTAGTTTGATCTGCTCACTATTCAGCAAAGCACTTCTACCTCTTATGAGACAATCCCATAGGCCTGAGATTTGTCTGTCTGAGGAAAAGAAAAGGTGGTTGGTGGCTGAATGCAAACAGGACCAGCATAACTCTGTACACTAAGCACAGACCCCCTTCCCTCCTGCATCACTCCTGAAGACGTGGCTTCATTTGCCACTTTTGATTTTAAGTTTCTGAAACTTCTGATTGGGAGACTTAATTTTTGACAATTGGTGTAGAATTTGATCAAAGAAAACCCAAAATTGTGCTGGCATTAGTTCACATCTCCCTACTACAACTACTTAATTGTCTGAAGGAAAATAAATAGAAACCTAAAAAACCCCAAAACCAACCAAAAAAAACCCCCTCAAAAACCCCAACCTAATCAACAACCAAACCATTAACAAAGAAGAAAAGATATATAAGAGAGAGAAGTCAGGCAACTAAGAATGTAAAACCATCTAGAATGATCATGTTTCCCTAGTCAGGTCTTTCTCTGGGCAGACCCAAATTACTGCAGCAGGTTTAAAATACAGGAAATAGGTATTTATATTATATTATATTATATTATATTATATTATATTATATTATATTATATTATATTATATTATACTATATTATATTATATTATATTATATTATATTATATTATATTATATTATATTATATTATATTATATTATATTATATTATATTATATTATATTATATTATATTATATTATATTATATTATATTATATTATATTATATTATATTATATTATATTATATTATATTATATTATATTTATTATGTTATATTTATTATGTTATGTTTATATTATTTTTACACTGTAGTGTAACAACACTTTTCAGTGACACATATTTAAATACTGGCCAGGGAGAAATCCACAACGGCCTCACCTTCAGCAGGTCACCTCCAGATTACCAGGAAGAAGAGCTGTTCTGGTAAGTCTAACAACTGCTTTGACATTGTTATGGCAACACAAGTGATTAGATATTACACCCAGCTCTGCTTTATCTCTAATCCCCAGCAATCATTATGCTTTTATTCAAAAATACACAACCACAGCATAGCAATGCAACAGGTGCAATTTAAAAAGAAGTAGGAGGACTGTTGATATTGGTTAATAATACAATATCATCCTCAATATTTCTTGTTGGTTGCAAGTTATTTAATTATGAAATGTTTTGAAATAAATTGATTAAAAGTGTAACTAAGTGGAAAAGCCTGGAAGAGCATATGGCTGGGTGACTCTCACAGAATGACCTCTAAAGCTCAGCTGTACTATGCACATTACACACTCACTCATTCTTGTGTGCAAACTAATTAAATTCCACAATTAAAGAAGGAAAAAAAAGTCTCCATTGCACAGGTACACCACTGCAGTACAGTGAAGTTGCAGATAGTGGCAGCAGAAACAAACATCTTTGGAGAGACACTACATACGAGTAAGTAACAACCACTAATTATTCTTATTCCCCTTTCTAGTTAAAGTCTACATTTAAGAACTAAATTTGTGCTGAAAATACCTCTATTAACTTGAGAGGGTGTTTCTTTTAAGATCAAAAGATTTTAATTCTTCTAGATACTTCTAAACTTGGGCTTCAGTGGTAAAAGCCCACAAACCTTACCATAATCTGACAGGCAAGAGGTGCTCCAGGCATGCACAAGTTATGCCCTTCTAAAGCACAGGAACTCTTCCAGCAATAAGACTGGAAAGAACAGTGTTTCCAATTTCCTTAACATATATATATGTGCTCACAGTATGCAGAAGTGCTTTAGGAGTTTAAACAAGTAGTGACTTCAACAGATCACATCACATATGGCTCCTGCAGAAATGTTCCCTCCTGTGTCTCTTCCACAGAAATGTGTTCTATGTTTGTTTTTACTTTTTGGTTTGGGGTTTTTTAAAACCTCCTTAAGGTGAAAACCAGCACAAATAATCATCAAACATTTACCTGGCTACTTTCACCATCTTTGGATTGTACTGTTTAAGGAGAGACAGCAATGTTTTCATTGTTTTACCAGTATCAATTATATCCTGAAAATAAAAACACTCATGTAAGACAGAATATTAACCATGTCAGAGTAGCACATTCAAGTTTCTACCACCAAAATTGTTCATCCACAGCAGCATGAAAATATGGCAAACTACAGCCTGTAAAAATGCTCACAACCAAATCCAGGTGGCACGAAACCCAGCACTGGGCTTGCACAACCACACTGGGTAAAGTGCTCACACACATTAACAAGAGTGCTTAATTGTTCTGGATAACCATGCTTTGGAAGCAGCTGCTGAACAAGCAGTTACTGCAATGACCTGCTTGGCTCCTTCTCGATATTTTATGGCTTGTGCTCCTGGCAGCAATGAGATAACGTTTAATTTGAATATAATAAGAGTAGTGTTAGTCTTGCTGTTGAGCTCAGTTACAGAGTATTCTACAAGAAGAAAAGCAAAAAGGGAAAACAGGCAGAACAACCCATTACTGCACTTAAAGGAAAAGGAGTACAATCTACTTTACAGAGCCAAGAAATACCTGAAGAAATTACACAGGGAAGTCTGTGTGCAGTTCTGAAGTCCAAAACACACTAAAATAAATTTTGACACAGCATTTTAATCCCATTCACTGCACATATAAACAGAAAATAAAAAGATAATATATGGCTTGAAACTGAAGCATCAGAAATGGCCTCCTCATTTGGACTAAACAATCACACCATCTTTAAGAGGGACAGTCCTTGCCCTGGTCTAAAATCAAATCTATTTGAGGTGAAGGAGGCAGAAGTTGAAGATGTACAGGTATCAAAGCTGGTAAATAAATATGCTCTAAGAAAAAAGCAGAACCTATTACTGATTTTCTGCTGTGCGTTGAGCTGTTTATTGGAGATGAATCTCCATTTTGTACTGAATTTTTTGGACATTAAAGGGATGCAGTAAAGCCTAGCACTCAATACATTAAATTTACAATAGATGCATTTTATCATTTGACAGTTAAAATGGTGATCAGCAAGTGGTCATATCTGACTGTGTAAGACGAGTCAATGGACAGATGATTCACTAAATAAATAAGAAACTAACCTAATCTGGGGGTTACATTCATCTGAAATGGAGCAGATACATAATTAAACACATCTGTCTATCTGAAGCAAAATACACTTCAAAGGACACCACTGATCACACAATGACTGCTGTATATATACTATTTTGGTAGGAATTTTGGAACTGCATGTGCTTCCTGTGGAATAATATAACCTTCCCAAATTAGGAAAATAATACATAGAAACACATTTTATGGGAGGAAACATCCTTTCCTTTGGCTGATGCATCAGTTGCCATAGTTGTTTCTTTGCTTACAAACATGCAATGTCCATATTTGGAGCCTTAACACATTATTAGATTGCCCATCTGCTTTTCCTGTCTACTGCTGCTGCCTCCCCATCCTGAAATTGCCAATTGTACTCAAGGAAAGTGACATTGGCTGCACATTAGCAATGGTGTTCATCAAGACAGGTATGAAAGCAAGAACTAAGCAACAGCACCTACCAGGCAATCAACTGAGCTGTACTGAACCCGGTATCACCCAGAGAACCATGACAAGCCAGAGAAATGGAATTCAGCAATTGCAAAATGCCAATTAAGAATTAGCATTCTCTGTGTCACTATTTTCTAAACAAACTTCACTCAGGGACACTGGGCTTAGATCTGTTTTTCACATATTTTAGGATATTCACACCAGGAATCTCTACCTCTGCAATTTAGTTTCCTAACTTGCTGGGATGAACCCAGAACAATAATATGCTTAGTATAACTTTTTTTTTCAGGCTTTTTCAAACAAAACAAAACAAAAAAGGAAAAAATTAGACAAATCTCAAAAAACTGAAAGAAAATACAAACCATTTTAGATGGATGTTTTCCTGGTTAAGTACAGCAATTGAACACAATTTGAGAATTCAAAACACAGCTTAGCTCAAATTCAGAGACCACTTGCAAAATTCAGGCCTGAATTTAGAAGCTGGAAACCTTGAAACCAGAAACTGTAGGTTTTCTGGCTTAAGAACAATTTCTATAAGAACTCTTTTACCTGTCACACATTAGAACTTCCAAGTGAAACACAGTACTTACTTCTACGATCAAAACATTCTGGTAGGAAGAAAAGGAAAAACAAATCCATTAGTATCTAGACAACATACAATTTCTTATTAATCTTCATAACTCATTTTCAGTGCACTTAAATATTTGCATCACCATTTATGTATGTTTACATGTGTAACAGCAACTGCTTTGTAGTTTAATGTTTCTGATGCTCTAATAACAATTAGCTGAGATTCTTCTCAACAGCGCAAGTTAAGTACAGTCTTTGAATTATTCAGACTTTGAAAATTCTAGACATATGTGAAAGATCAAAAAGAGAATCTATACAATTCCTATTCTTTAGAGAAGGGTGTCCTACTGCAGAGGCATGTACAATTCTGTCATACCTACATCTTTACATTAACACACGTCTTAAAAATCACCTGTGTGTGAGGAAGAGGGGAAAGTGATGTGTTCTGACAGAGCAGGAGTAGTGGGGCTTTAACTGCAATCTGGCTCAATGATCTCCATAGAATCACTGGAGAAAAGCAGATTCCCAATTTACATTCTCCTATTTCCTCCTCTTGTCTCTGCCTATCATGAGGACCTGTGTTCCTGACGTGGGCTGCACCTTACACATCTCAACAGTATGAGTTCCCAGCACTCCCTCAGTGGAACAAACACAGACACACACACAGCTGTACCTTTCCAGTCAAGGTTGAGAGGTCATCTCCCCCAATGACTTTGATATCTCCAGTTGACTGATCATTCTAAGAAAGAGGAGGGTGAACATTTACATGACAAGAATTAGACTGATTTTCTTCTTGCAATAAATATCAAAACTGTGACGTACACAACTAATAAATGTTAAAGCTTTCAGAAGCACAGCAACAACAGCATCTCTATGAACAAAGAACTTTAAAGTGCTCAACTTCAAAGATAGTATTTCAGATAAAAGACTGTTTGGCAAGAGATTTGCATCAACGCATATTCTGTGACCATTATGTACACATATGTATCTAAAATGCAAGGATTTACTATGCATTGTCTACAGATATAGAAACAGGAAAAAACTATTTCTGGTTTCCAAGCTACAGGATGCTATATAGCTGGTAATTTACATTTTAAACTTTATGCTTTAGAAAGTCTTACTCCGAATAAGAATAGGCAATCATAAGAAGAATAGCCAGCAAACAAGGCACTGATTGCTATGTAGAACAATAAGCTACAAAAATAGCCAGAAAAGCTTATGCTTAATTTATGGCCAATATTGGTAACAAATCAAATTAGTTCTTATACAATTGAACAGCAACACAGGTACACTACACTGCATTTTGCTTCAGTAAATCCAAACTGTCATAAAAATGTAAATTAAATGTTATACAGGAAAGTTAAAAACAGCTGCTAGGATTGCCTCTAATCTTTGCAGTTTATTAAACTCACTCAACTGACTTTAAACCTCAACAGTGTCTAACAGTTCATATTAGATGTCATATGCAGGTGTTAAGTTCCTGAGCAATGAAAGGGTGAAAAAACAGTTAAAGATTTCTCACATTGGTTATAACCAGATTTCCACTGGCAAGAATTTGTTTAATCATTAAGCAATGTTATAATGATCTTCAGGAGCCTTATTTCTGAGTTCAGTACTGGAAAGACTTCAATGCTTCATGGTTTAACACGCAAGAGTTTTACTGGTTAGATCTGTTTTCACTGCCTCCCTGTTGTCACTGCTGGAAAACAATAATGTTTTACAAAACTAACTCCTGACTCAAGTGACTCCAAGATCACCTTTTAAAGTGGCATTTTAAATTCCTTACAGTATCTGCTGTAAACTTTGGTTAGCAGAGACCTTTCAGAATACTGCTGTGACCAGAGTTTACCACATACTCCACTGAAAATCCCTATTTTCACCAGTGACAGTGCAACACATCCACTATCTTTTGGCTGCCCTTCATGAGTATCAACATTTGCTCATTTCCATGCTTAAATGCAGGAGACTGATGAAAAGCCATTCTTGTAACACAAACAGAATAAACTGTTTGTCAAGAATACTGAGAACAAGATCTGATCACAAACCCTATCTTAACATTTTTAACAGCTTGCCAGATCCCTAAAATTCATCTGTAAGGACTTGGAAAACTGGAGTTACAAGTTTAATCATAGCTTGATCATGTCAGTATTCTTAGAAAATTATTTTGGGTGAAGTACAGCATGAATTTTGCATTGCAACACAAAAAAAAAAAAAAAAAGCTTGTAAATATTAAATTATCAGTTTGACAAGAATAGAACTTCAATTACATAAATTACAGAACCATTAAAAAGTTCATCTGCTTCATTTATGTGACCAGGATATTTTTAACATCTTTTATCCAGTCTGTAAAGGCAGGCAGCATGATCCAGTAATCACGTCCAGAGACAGCAACAAGAGAGCTGAAAGCTCCACTTTCAAATGCCCATTACAGTTTGTGATGATTTTCACACCACTGAACACAGATCTCTTCATGTAGCAAAGCACAGATCAAAACTACAGAGCAGATTTAGCACTCTGACACTATTTCTAATGGAAGACCCAGTCAAGCTGTTACATGCACATCCAGGACAGGATAATCTTATCCAGTCTATCAAATTATGCAATCTAAAGGACCTAAATTTGGGTATTAATAACCACCTAAGAGAGTCTACAGAACAGAAATGCTCATAAATATTGTAGTGGAGGCATCACATAAAAGCAGCTCCTTACTCATCCAGAACAAGAAAACGTTATTTTATAGAACTGCCTGACAAAATCAAAAACCCTCAAGCCAACACCTCAAGGAAAATGTCTGGCTTCAACAGCTTTCTGTCAACATTTCTCTCTTTTCTCCTCATTTATTGTTTCTATAGTAAAAACATAATTGTAATCACCATAAAGCCTACTTTGCTGCTCACTCCCCTATTAATATCAAGGCACTGTAGTTCTGAGTGGGAATAAACAAAAACAACTAGTAAAGAAATGAACCAAAACACACCTAGGGCACCAGGTAAAAGTCAGCCTTGCTTTTTAGCAGAGACTTTTTTCAGATGTTTCAAACTATTTCTCCAGTATTTTTTCTGAGTTAGAAAGTAGAGAGCATGAAGTGTGTAGTCTTTGTACTGATCCTTTAAACAAGGTAAGTAAATTATTGGAAGTGTTCCTAAGTGGAGAAAGCAGAAGTGACACAATTTCAACTCCAAGAAAAAAAAACAGGTGGAAGTCATAATTTCCTATTATTTAAGCTACTATTCTGTAATATAGTTGTTCAGTTTTCTGCAGCTTTTATAGGCAGAATATATGGGCATATGGGGTCTTTGGGGTGAAGTGGACTTGAGAAGGAGCCTCTGAGGAGGAGCCTCCCCTTTTGGGAGGCACAGCAGAAAAGAGGCTCAGACTGCTCTCCCTCACTGATTTTAACACAGTGCACAAGCACAAAGTGCCTTGTGAGATACAACCAGAGGCTGGCAGCCCTTCTGCTCAGCTCTGCACTCTCATTAAAGCACATAACTGAATTAGTGCCTTGTGCTCTGCAGACCTGAGTGTGGTCTCCAGGTAACCCCTGGGCAGGCAGCTCTGCGTGTGTGCCTCGGGCAGCCAGGGCTGCTTGTCCTGCAGAAGGACCAAAGTCCCATGCAGTTCTTGGCTTTGTCATGACACTTTAATGGAGAGCTTGATAGGAATCACGGATTTATCAAGTTCTGCAACAGCCCAGACTAAGTCTGTAAATAATCACATCTTGGGTTTCACAGTTGAATGAAACAAAAGATGAGAGTTATTTTTTTCAATTCAGTTATCTGTATTTTTCTGCTGGAATAGGGAGTGGTCTACAGCTGTGACAAGTAACCCTGACTTCAATGCAAAGCTGCTGATAAAGACCAAACAGCATAACATTGTGAAACAATGTATTCAAACACTCTAAACTGAAAAAAGTCATTATTTACATCTTATAGATGTAGGGAAAAAATAATAAATTTCTGAAATCCCAAAAACATGAGACTTGGCTGTCAGTAAGCTGGAAATCATACTGTGCTGACACACACCTGCTTCTTCCCCTGACCTGCACAACATAACCCTAAGCTTCCTTCTGGAAAACCTAAAAGTTACCTCGTGTTTCAGCATGTTCTGTTTTCCCTACAATTCTGAACAACTTGTGTTCAGAATCAAAAGAAATTCTTTCCCTAAAAATCTAAACCCAAGGCAGCCTCTGCCTTGTCTTGAAAATGTAATGTCATATTCAGAGGCTATTAATCACGAATCTAGGTTTATGTATCTAGAGTTTCCTCATGGCCAAATACAACTAGTTTTGCTCATGGTTTGGTTCATCAAAACAAAACTGAGATAGGGAAACATTTCTGCAGCTTTCAAGTCATCCTGTCCAAAAATGATGTCTGGGCCATATAAAAACTCTCAGAATTAATTTTTTTTAATAACAGTTGCAGGAGAATTCTCTGTACCAGTCTAGAGCCACAGCTTTAGAGATGGGGTAGAGGGCAGAGAGGAAATTGTTGAACAAGTAAAGGACATATAAAGGGTCTCTCCTCAGCTAATGATTTTACTGGGGTGAGGAGATATCAAGGTCTAAAAGGAAACACATTATATAAGGTAGAGAAAAAGTAAATTGGCTTGTGACTCTTAATTCCCTTAATTATTTGTTTAATATTAGCATATTAGGGCAGTAACAATATTAAACCACCTCTGTTAATAATTTGTAGTCAACTTAGCTAAAAATTGCACAGTACTGCATAGATACTTACACAATAACTCTTCAACCTAATGAAGTCGACTGTCATGGGGATTGATTTGTCACTGTTTCTGTTCAGGGCTTTGATGTAGTCTAATAAATCAGCAAAAAATTTATAGCCACCCTTGAGTACACAGAGTGCCACAATGTGGTGTCCTCCCATGCCCTTCATAATTTCTCGTGCCAGTCTCTCCGTCCTAAACAAAACCAAGGAAGAGTGAGCTGTCACAACATTTCACTTGTCCATCACAGCAGCAGCGTTTGATACTCCTAGCAGCAGCAAACACACAGAGCAAACTTGGAAACACATTTTGTTTGCACATATTTGCCCACCACTTCGGTCACTTTTACACCTTCTTGGTCAACAAAGTTTTGCTTTTCAAGGTTAATCCAACAGTAGCACTGCCAAATGCGCTTGTTTTCCTGCATCACAGGCAGCCAAAGCAAACCTTAACACCCTGAAACTGTTTCCCTGTCAGATAAGAGACGTGAAGGTGTCTTTTCTCCTTCAAAAGACAGGTCCAGCTTCCATGCAAAGAGCAATGTAAGCTAACACAACCCCAAAGGCACCAGCTGACGAGCAAGAAAACTCAAATTGTAAAGTGAAGAGTTTATGAAAATTTGCCAAATCAGAATGACAGAAATTTGTCCTGAAAGCAGAATACAATACCAGCAAGGCAGAGCAAGAGAACGCTGCACTGTTTTTCTGCAATAATTGTTTCTAAATTTATTTTGCCATTTATTTTAGAAAGCATGGTCTGCATTTACTGTGTGCTAGCTGACAGCAGGTTTCTCACAGAAAGCCATTATAAATGTTACGTCAATTCCTTAATGACATCTACTTTGTCCAATTTTTTCCTCTATATGGCCTTCCAGTGTAAAGTTTTAATATTTAAAAATAACAAATGTTAATAGGGATTTTCATTGTATCTAGTCAAACAGAACAATGCAAAATCTAAATACAATCCTAGTCACAAGATCCCCTGGAAGACCCATCAAGCACCACTCATAAAAGGCTTAAATTCACTGAATTTGTTGTTCATTCTCACAAAGAAAATTAGCAACTTTCAACCACAAAGTAAAACAAAAATGTCTTGTATGCTTATGAACACATGTCTGATCATACAAGATAAAACTTGCACAGCACATCAAAGATTTTATCAACCACACAAGTGACAGATTGATATTTGCAGAGAATAAAGTCTTTCTTGGAAGGCAGGAGAAAGTTGGACTTATTTATCTAGCACATCAACATGAGAGAGTCTAAAATGATGTGATTAATAATTTAATTTTATTAATATCTTATGGATGGTCAAGAGTCTATATTTTCAGACTGAACTGACACAACAAAACAATTCCTAGTTAGATTTTAAAAAGGTAAAACATCAAAGAAACACTGGAAAGACAGTCCTAAGTTGCTATATACTAAAAAATTTTGCTCTAGAATTATGACCAATTTTCAAAGAATAGCATAACTGCAAATGTACAAACTCTCAGAAGCCAAAATAAAAAGAGATTAATTGCTCATTTAAGTCTCTAATTTAAATGTAATCTATTTAGACAGCCTCCAAGCAGCAAAATTATCACTGGAAGATGTTTATTCCAGTTTCATGCAATCAGTGTACTGTCTGAAGTCAAACAAACCTGTCCATGATGAGCCCATGAGGAATATAGACTTTTTCCAAATCATCTGCATAATGTTTAGGTATGCAGAACAAATCCAGGTCGTAACCTTGTTCATCATCGCCAATCTGAAAAGAAAATTAGGTGAGATTTCTACTAAGCTTTATAGTAAGTCTGTGCTGAGAAACTTCACGTCCTTTGCTTTATTGATAAAAACTATCAAAGCCACAATGCTCATCAGAACCACCTTACTTTCCCCCTCTCTAAAAACATCAGTCACACCGAACACAGAGTAAAGTGTAATCTAACAGTTGACAAGAGTTACTTGAAATATCATGAGTTGTTATGCAATGCAGTGTGTGAAAGAAAGTCCTACAACATTCTCCTCCAGTGGAGAGCAGGAAACTGAAGTTACTACACCTCAGTGAAACTCTATATTCCATTACAAAAATCATCAAGCTTTTTAACCCCTTTGATTTTCCTAGTGTAATGCAATACCTGCATCTGCAATTCAGCAAGCAGAGATTCTGACATGGACACCTTCCAAATCTCCACAACACTCAATCACAACAAAACACACGAGCCAGTTTGCAGGACAAGGCAAGAGAGCTACATGAGTCTGACAGTTTATGCTGCTGGGAAACAACTCTGCTCCAACCACCGTTTCCAAAATGGAGAGGTTCAAGATTATTCAGAATCTGAAATTAAAGCTTTCAGCAACCTGTTCCACATGGGCAAACTCCCTGTATGAAACAGCCTGCAACACTGGAAAGTGTATATTAATTAGGACAAGGGATTAGCAAACATACCTAATGATACTGAACGCTGCTGAGGTTCAGGGCACACTGATACATCAAACAGAGTCTTCCTTGAACCCTAACCCTGCTGCAGCTTGAAAATGATGTGGTTTGCAATTACTTCCCTCTCTGATTATGTAGCTGAACATTATCATGTGCAAAAGAATTTCAGAGGGAAAACAGAAGGTTAGTGCTGACAGTTCACTGGGGCAGGCATTTTAAGTATCCATTTTTGCTATTAGAACCCTTGCAGGATTCAAATCTTATTTTAATGCCTGTGGAAACACTTACCTGGCCAGTGGTCTGACAACTGTTTACACGGGAGTTTTGTTGATTAATCTTTAATGAGTATTTAATCTGAGGAATTTAATTATTATTTCACCCTCCCATCCAAAACTGACCCTGTGTGAGCTACACACACGCAGCTCAAGCTCATGGTCCCTGCAGTCCACAGGGACTTATTTTTAAGAAATTGTAAGAAATAAGGCAGGTCCTTCCGAAAACTCATGGTGTTTTTCGTTGGTCAGACCCATCGTTATATCCAGAGTGTCTACTAAACCTTCCGTTCTGCATTGGCAGGGAATGGACCCTTCCTTACAGGTTTTATCAGGTTTTTTATGGACTGCAGGGATTTACTGTCGCAACCTCGCGGCCGTCACAGCACTCGGCCGTAAGACAGCGCACGCACTTCATCAGCACTGGCACTTGCTTTAAAACGATAAATAAAAATGAGCATTAAGAGCCTTAGCAGATGCGGCAATTACACAGAAATATCAAGGATGCTGCTCCTGCAGAAGCAGAGCCAGCTCACACACGTGCGGCTCTCCCGACCCGAGCCTCCCGCACGCCGGGAACAGCAACAGGAATAGGAAGTTGTGCCGTGCTGAGGGAAGTTCTTCCACCTTCGCTCCGGAGGCGCCAGCGCCGGCTCTGCCCGCCGCCCTCGGCTCCGGCCGCCCTCGGCTCCGGCCCCTCGGGCCCCGCGGCCGCCCCGGGAAGGGACGCGCCCGGCCGGGGCAGGGAGGGCAGGACGGACAGCCGGGCCCGGCGCCGGGAGGCCGGGGCTGCCCTCAAGGTGACTCCGCGGGGCGGCGGCTCCCCGCGCCGAGGGACGCGGCACGGCACGGCACGGCACGACACACGATACGCCACGCCACGCCACCCCTCGCGTTGCCTCACAGATCACCGTATTCCCGGGGCGGGCGGGGGACAGCGGCCCCGGCGCTCAGCATCCCCCGTCCCGCGAGCGGCAGCCCCCGCACTCACCACGATGCAGGGGCTGGGGGTCGCCATGGAGCGCGGCCCGGCCGGCGGCGGCTGCGGGCGGCTCGGAGCGGCGGCGGCGGGCGCTGGGAGCGACAGGAGCGGCGGCGGTAGCGGCGGTAGCAGCGGCGGCGGCGGTAGCGGCGGGCTCTGGGAGCGGGAGGCGCCGCGCCCGCTGCGGCCCCGGCGCCGCCTCCGCGCCCTCCGCGCTCCCCGCCCTCAACATGGCCGCTGCCAGCGCCGTGCGGCGGCCCCGGGGCGCGGGCGGAGGGACGGGGGAGAGGGGACGCATCACCGGGGGTGTTCCCTCGGGGCGGCTGGCCCCATCCCAGCAGGGTGCAGGTGTCTTCCCCGTGCTGTCCCACGTCCCTATTCCGTGTCCTGAGTTGAGCCTCCCCTCCCACAGCCCGCTTTGCGTTGCCCGTCCCCTCAGGATGACATGGGAAGGTGACAGTGCTGTGTCCAGTCCTGGGTTCAGGGAGGACACTGAGGTGCTGGAGCGGGTCCAGAGAAGGGCACAGAACTGGGTGAAGCACCTGGAGCTCAGGTGCGATGAGAGCTCTGAGGGAGCTGGGGGTGTCTGGCCTGGAGAAAAGGGCGCTCAGGGAGGACCTTGCTGCTCTGTGCAGCTCCTGACAGGAGGCTGAAGCCGGGTGAGGGTCGGGCTCTTCCCCGGGGAACCAGCCACAGGACAAGGGGATAAGGTCTCAACTGTGCCAGGGGAGGTTTAGGTTGGACATCAGGAAGAATTTATTCACAGAAAGGGTGATTAGGCTTTGGAACGGGCTGCCCATGGAGGTAGTGGAGTCACCGTTCCTGGAGGTGTTTAAGCAAAGACTGAACGTGGCACTCGGTGCCCTTGTCTGGTTGGCAAAGTGGTGTTGGGCCATCGGTTGGACTTGAAGATCTCGGAGGTTTTTCCAACCTTTGATTCTGTGCTTCTGTGACTCCAGATGTCTGGGAGAACAGGGTGGGTAACTGCTGTCATTCCAGAGCCAGGCACAGAGACACACATCCATCAGGTGCTCATGTCCATGGAGGGGCTCCACAGACAGAAGTAAAATTATAAAAAAGCATGGATAGTTCCACTGGTCTCAAATGAGAGGAAGAAAAATAAGTGCCAACTTCTCCTGTAGGAAAAATTGTCCTTAGTGGACAATAAGGACAATTAAGGACAATACAACAGTGCAAATGGAAATTTGTGATTTCTTGTATTATGCAGCAGCTAAAGACTTTCCCCCTCTTTTTCTAAGGGGTGGAAATGAGGTTTTATTTTATGGTGCATGAAATCTTGGTGTCAATAAAAGGATAATGATTCTTAAAAATAACTTTACTCATAAATAACTGTAGCAATCACCCTCTGATATGCATCTAGCATTATTACTGTTGGCTCAATATCAATGTCTGCCATTAACAGTAGCACCCAACAGCACCTTTCAGATGGCATGCAGAAGTTGTTGGCTTGACTTCTGTGTGGTTTCTCCCCACCAAACAAAACCACTAGTCCTGTTTTGCCCTTCTGGATGAGCAATTTCTTTGTTCCTCCTGCCAAACAGCACATTCCTGGATCCAAAGCATTTCTGATCCCACTGGCACCCCATTATGGATGGAAAAACAGATTTACAAAAGCAAAGGTATTTGCTGATACTACAGGAAGTCGGTGAGCTGAGATCAACACCAGATTTAGAAGATGACCAGTTTTGCTCTTGCTGTTTATGAGGCCACTGAGGCTTGCAGGGCAGGGTGAGGGAGGGGATTCAGAGGTACCTGGGAGCTGCACATTTTCTGTCTAGATGATGCATAAGGTCGGAAAGCCAAAGTTTTGATTTCTCTGGTATGCACAGCTTTTACAAGGCAAAATAATGTAATAAATATGCAGAGTGTTTTGTCTCAGAGTAGGCTCTTAATTTCATAACTATTTTGTCCTCTGCTGCCAGCCAGGCATATCTCAGTGCTCAGGCCCAGTGAACCATGACCAGTGTAAGCACCAGTTGAAAATAATTTTATTAATAGATTTTTAAAAACCTTTCTTACTGACCATGTGTCCCCAGTGGTGGGGTACCTGGAGGTAGCAACTGAGTATTCATCTTTTGGAAGCACCTGAAATGGTGTGCACTGGGTCAGATCTTCAGGTCAGTGCCCATTCACCAATCCCCCGCTCTTCTCCCCATTTTTCCCTCCCAGCTTTGACATTGCTGCTGGGTGACTCACAGGGAATCAGCAGAATTTTTCTGCTGGTTTTGTTTCACAAAACAAGTCTCCTAAAAAAAACAAAGAGTACAATAATTTTTCAGCAGATTAACTAGACCAGCAGGACTCTGTTATGACCAGAAATTTGTCTGTGCAGACAAAATGGGGGAAAATGAAGAATTCCAGGGATATCAACCCAGTCCTGAGAGGAGCACCACCATTTTTAATCAAGAGGAAAACCAAAATTAAATATCTGATTAAATTATATAGAGATAGAGAGCATTCACTGGAATATGAATTTAGTGCACAAACATCCCATCTTCTTCATGGCTTCAAAGACATCTTTCCACTCTGACTAGAAATTTAAATAGCATATAATTATTTTTCTAGCCAAATGTTTTGAATGGGAGAGGAAGCCAGATGTACCAAAACATTATTTAAAAAGAGACACACCCTTCCTAAGAAATATGGAATAGATGTTGTTGATTGCAAAATACCTTTTAAAATCATGTTCTTGTTCTTTGTCTTATTGATTCCTGCAAAAATTTGTCATCACAGTGGTTGTCAGTGCTGACAGTCTCCATGGATTTTGGAAAGTGGTGCCTATCTACTTACTGGTTTCAAGACTGGTATATCCTGGATGGTGAGAGTTTATCAAGTTTTCTCTCCCTGCCCAGATAATAAGTGTCAATTTACTTACCAAAACTAAGATAAGCAAAACATCTGAACTAACGTACTTCTCTGGAGCTGTAGATAACTTCCCTTTTTCACTAAAAAGGTTGCCACAGTCCAGGATGGAGGTTGGGGGAATTACAGACATTTGGTCTTTATTCAGTAGTGCAAGGACCGGTCAGTGGCACAAAAATTACACAAGTAGTACGAAACACTCAGCAGCAGCTGTTCAAAAACTGAACCGTCCTGAGAAACGCAGGCCTGATTGCTGCAGACGGCGGTGCTCTTTGGTATTTCTGGCATTTATGAGGTTCCATTTGCAAACACCCGTTAAGAACTGTCCCCGCAGCCCTGGCTCGGCAGGCCCCGACAGCGGCGGCTGTGCCACGGCGGAGCGGAGGGGCCTTGGCACCGCAGCCCTGCCCCGCTGCGAGGGCCAGCTCCACCGAGGGCCCACAGAAACGGCAGCAAGGATTGCTGAAAGTGGCACTAAACAAGCAAAGGCAGATCCACTCACTGAACGAGGGCATGGGCTCAGCATGTACTCACAGCCCTGTGCTGTGGGGCTTGTGCCCATAGAAACACCCGAGACTTTGGTAGCCCAAGCCCCACGGCTGTGACTGAGCACACGTGTGGTGAACCTTCCCCCAGCAGCTCGGGGGTCTGGGCTTGCTCCTCTCCCTGTTCCCGGGCACAGGAGAGCTGTGAGAAGTGGCTTGGATGGAGAGGAGGGCATACCTGAAATCCAGAGAGTTGCCCAAAGGACATTGTGTTTGTTTGAACCTGTCCTAACGCAAGGGTTGAAGCCTGAGCAATGAAACTGCTAGGAAAGCATATTTCTTTTTTCTCGTTGGAAATGGGTGTTTTCTGAGCTCAGCTTGACTCACTGGATGGTGTGTTCTGATGGAGTTGCTGACTGAGTAAGAAAATAAGAAAGTCCTTAAATACAACCACAGTTCAGCACCAGCTGCAGGGCCACTTGAGAGCTGCAGCCCCAACCCTTTGCTGCAGGAGCACCGTCCCTGCTGCCAGGCGAGGGGACACCAGTGTTTATCAGCCACTGTCACATGGTGCTGCAAGCCCGTAAAGCCCAGGCTGACCTCCTTCCATTCCTCCCACACCTCCACTGCCTGCAGCACAGCCCTTCCGACCCTCAAGGAGTCACCTGAGGTCCCCAGCAATTCCTCTGAGCAGCAAAGCGGAACAAAGAGCAGGGCCATGGAAGTTACAACAATCAGATTCTTTTCTCTGCTCTACAGCAAGGAATAGTGAGAAGTACATTTTCTCCAAGGGAACCTTTTCTGCTCCCCTCATTCAGCAGCATATATATCAACAAGATACCTGGGTGACCCAAAAGATTCTGTGTGGGACATTTCAGTGTAAACTCTACCAAAATTAATGTGACTGATGGCAGCCATGTTACCCTGCTGGTTTTCTCAAAATTAAATGGTCTCTAGGAACACAGGAGAGGACAGATGTCCACATTGCAACATGCACATGCAGCAAACTCCCAGGAGTAAAATTACTTCTGGGAGATAGGTTGTGCATGGGAAGTGCTCTTGCTCTTAGTACGGCAGCTTATTTTAGCCAACAACTTAGTTAACACAGCCTCAGTTTTTGTGGTATGAACGAAGAGACCAAGGGAACCCTGCAGCAGGACTTCAGCCGGGGAAATCTGCACTGGAAGCTCATTTGCACACACCTTCCACTGAAGCCTGAGGGAAGGCTGGACTACTCCAAATGCAGGAGGTTGGTGCTGGCAGGTCCTCCCACTAGGGCAGGGCAATTGAGGGAGAGCTGTGGGGTTCTCCCCATTGCTCACTTGTTCCAGAGTGGTGAACAGGTTTATCTGCTTCCACCAGGCAACTGAGTGCAGGAGCTGCCTGCAAACTTGCAGGAGCATTTCTAAAAAGCTGTAAAACACTCGCTGTGTCCTGTGTCTGAGAAGAGGTGTCTGCACAGCCACACACAGCTGAGCCAGGTGTAAGGATTGCTTAAACAAAACCCAAACCCGGAGCCTGTTGACACCAGCAGTGACAGAGGGTCCAACAGGCATGAGGACAGAAATCTGAGAGCAGGCAGGAGGCAGTGGCAAGGCTGTTTGAGTACCAGGGGAGAAGGAAGAGGAAGAGCAGCACAGAGCACAGCCAGCAGCCTGATCAGGTAACTCGCTGACGAGACAGAAGGGCTGCACACGCCAGGGCTGGCGGATCCAGCTGGCTCTGCCTCAATGCACACTAAGCATCAGGTG